ATTTCAAAATAGAAAACTGTGAAGGCAAAATTTTTAACTAGTGATTGAAAATCCTGTTCCTGCTTCCTCACTCAGGGAATAAACAGAAGATCCCCAAAGGCTTATGTTGAATTCTTCTTGTAGGTGAGAAATGCAAATAGCTTTCAGCAGTTTTCATAGAAGCTCTTTATTCAAACTGTCAGTTTTGTGGCTCCTGTTTCTTCTTCCATTACTTTTAGTGGTAATTACAAAGCCCTAACGCTGAATGCATATCTGTAGTTTACAGTGAACTATGCAGAGAAAAATTGTGACGAGCAGCAACTGCTTTTCTGTTTTTCTTTTTTCTCTTTTGGGATGAAGCTGATTCCCTTTTTTTCCCCTTATCTTTTTTTCTTTCCCACCCCTCTTTCTGTGATTCAGAGAACTGATTGTAGAGTAGATCTGTATTTATTCACACTGGTCTCCAAACACTTACAAATTATCCTGCAGTAGTTTAGTAAAATTAAGATGTGCCACCTGGTTCACAGAAACATAGAAACAGTTCCCAAACACAAGCATACCCTTGATTTTCTCATTCTTTGGACTGAAATTGGTGGTCTTGGCCCTTTTCTGAGAAAACAGGCATTCATTGAAACAGGAGAGATCCTCCTTGATGTAAGGCATTTTTTTTTCACCATTATAATAGTCAAACAGGCTGCCCAGAGAGGTTGTGTAGCCTTTACATCTGAAGGTTTTCAAGACACTACTGGAGAAATCCGTGATTAGCTTGGACCAAAGAATGGCAGTCTCATTTTTATAGTGAATTTTAGCAGATATAGGTGCAAAGATTGTGTAAATAAGTATGAATAAGCATGTTTGATACTTTGCTAGCCTCCAACTTTTTTCAGCTTGGGTTGCTTCTTGAACTAGATATGGTTTCTAGGCAGGAGTGTTTTTATAACCAGCATCAACTGCAGGAATCTCCATCAAACTTTAAATAATTAATTGGAGGAATGATAAAGACTAAAAGCAATAACTCTGTCATTGTTAAAATCTTCTGCAGTGGTGTATGCTTTTTATTTATTTACTGTTTCATTATAGCCATCACCTCTTTTGGCAGTTAGTCTTGAAGAATCACTCTTATTTTAATTAATCCATAACTGTTGAGTTGAAATCATGTCTCATTTGAAAATGCTCCTCATGGATGGCATATACCAGCATGTTCTTACACCTGTTGGAAGCACTTGGGTTAACCAGTGAGCATTGTACCAAGAGAAGTCACAAGTGGCTTATTAAAGTTCTGTGCAGCTTGGGAAATCTTCACTGATTGTGTCCCATGTAAAGTCTGCCTGATAGTATTGACAACACCTCTTAGAAGCTTTAAAAGCTCTAGAAAATAAATGCTGTTTTGAAAACATCATTCCCTCAGCTCCCCCTTCCTTCACTCTCCAAGTTCAGGACTTCTTCCTTCATTTTGGAACTTCTGTACACTAATGACTAATGTGAAAGTGAGTTAATACAGTAAGAATAGTTATCTTTTATATAGGTATGTGATAGTACTAATGTAGCAGATTCAGATTGGGACAGTCTGTTTGTAACTCTCTGTTAAAAGTATTCTTAGATAAAAACCATGACAAAATAATATCAGCGAGAAAAATTATACCTAAAAGCTTGATTGCAAAAATGTCTCTAAGGCCATGTAGAGGTGATTTGGTGAAATGGTACTGTTTTACAAGTAGCACAAGATTTGATTTTTTTTTTTTTTTTAAATCCTAATTAAAAATGGGGGGTAGTATGGAAAGCTATCTTCTGTATTTAAAAGAGCTGCTTAGATTTGCAGAAGTAGTTCAGAAAAAAACAAACAGATAACTCTTTGGATTAAGCAATAGCTTAATCAAATTCATTTTAAGGTTGTTGGCACAGAAAACAATAAATATAAAAAGGAATGCTGATATGTTGAGCAAGGGTGAACTTTCTAAGAAACAGTTATAAAACTGTCTCTTCAAGAATGCTGAGAATTTGGAGAATTATTCTGTGGATATATTTCTTTGTCTTTAATGTAGAAGAATTTAGTTTTAATTTTGCTATGGACATTTGTTTGGCGAAGGACTCTCTGATAGTTAACATAATGCTGCTGAAGTAAGCTTTTTCAGCTTGAATATGCAATTTGGAAATGAGCAGTGATTTGCAAACCTAGAGGAAAACGGTAGTGATTATCTTGAATATGTTAACTGCGAGAACGAAATGACTAATTATATAAGTATCTGCTGCCTCTTTAAATATCCAAGACTGTGGATATCATAGTGTATAGATCAGTACTGCTGCTTCATGGCAGTACAATCAGCCATTGGAGCAATGGAAATGAAATTCTTTATCAGCTCTTTGAGTTTCTTACTATATGTATTTTATTTTGACACTGATTGCATTTTATGATGTGGACATCTGTTTGCTAAAAATTTCATTAGTGCTACTGTGTTGTTTCAGCCAATCAACTTCTTTTAATCTAAGAATTGAAGAAAGATTCCTGCCTTTACAAATAAATCACAAAAGGTCATACCAGTGCGACACGCTGAAATTAATTTTTGGTGTTTGTGGCTAAGACTGATTTTGTATGTTTTTTGTGGAATAAAATTCAGAGTCTAGTTCTACTCATTCTTTCTGGTCTTGACCAGACAGTGACAGTTTATACACAGTTGTCAACTGAATTAGACAAACCGCATGTACTCCCACCACCCTCCTGTTTGTGGGTGGGAGTGTACAGGAACAGAGCTGGGTACTTTCTCTGCTTGGCATCTCTCAGCAACGTGGATCCAAAAGATGCAACTTGACTGCAGAACTGTTTTGCTAGTCAACAAGTGCTGTACCCCACCCACATTTATAACTAGCAGATGGTGAGGCAAGCCAGTAAAAGATGGTGAGGGATTTCACTACATCTCTTAAAAGTAAATAAATAATATTTGAAAATTCTATTTAAAAATCTAAATTGCAGAATTAATTAGCCATGAAAACTTAACATCATATAACTATAGGATTTTATATTCTCTGTAAAACTTTCATGTCTCCTTAGATAAATATTACTTCCATAATTTAAAGTACTTCTTAAACATGAGACACTATTTATTTAAGGTATTGGTCATCCTAATGCTCTAAATATCAGAGACATCTGATTAAAGACATTTGTTCTGGAAGAAAAGATCAAGCAGTACTCTGCTGCAAGTCCTCCTTTTGATTTACAAGAAAAAAAAAGAGGATTGGATATGCATTTAGAACAAGTCTTTCAGCATGAATAAGCAAATGAAATAGCTTCATTAACTTCCAGCTATTATGCATTTGTGTGAAACTACACTAAAACTAAAACGCTGTCAGCACTGTAGTCTTTCTGTGATTTCCAAATCATATCAGTAACAAGTACATTCTTCCTAGTCACCAGCCCAATGGACTGCTGTTTGCGCTGGACATCAAGCAGGTTTTTCCCTGCTGTTCATGAATATAAAATTCTGCAGGCTGGGTCATGGTTGCTTTTGTATCTCTCTTTTTTGTATTCAGCTTATTCTTTCTGTGATTGCTATGTGAATTCTTGCATAGTTACATATATTAGGCTTGAATAATCTCATTGTATAAAAAGAATTTATAGCTTTATGTCTCTATGCATGAAAATTATCACTAGAATGAAAGATTGTAAAGTTCAAGTCGGCTTCATTTTTCTGAATAGGAGCATGCTTAGACCTTTTCTAAGACATGGGCTTTGCCTTGTTGGCCTGCCCATCTATATGATAAGTTGAGAAACTGATGTTTGCTCTAATAGACACATTTAATACATAAAAATAAAATTTTCACAAAATCCTCTAATGAATTAGTGTCACAGTGAGGAATAAAGACAGTCTAATTACAGAAATGGTATTATGTTCAACATCCTGTATTCCCCTTTTTGGGTATGTAAGAGCAGCAGAAAAATTCAAGGAAAATTGCTAATTAGATTTCACCCAGGAATCTGTATCTTCAGATAAATTGGATAAAATCTGATCAATTTTATCAGAAATATGTGACCTGTCAGTCTCTCTTACTTCTCCACACTGTGACCTCTGTTCTGACTTTCTGTTCTGTTAAGATCACTTCATTTCTCTTCAGCATAATAGTTTATCTAATGGACCTCATCCCATTTATTTTAAAAGTCTGTTTTCTGCCCTTTGTCCATTTCAGCAGCACACCTAGCAATATACTTTATTCAGACTGCATCATTAATTAAATTTACACAGTACCTCTCAGCTCCAAAATAAGGCATTTTATCAAAGATATCAGTAGTATAATTATGAAGTTGATATCATGGTTCCATGATAGGTTTTAAAGGTTCCATGGTAGGTTTTAAAGTTGATTTTACAGATTAAAGAAGTCAAGTATTTTTTACATCTCTGAATAATTACAGAGAGAAGATGCTAAGTGAAAAAAACCTTATTATGTGATAATGACGTTTATTTACTGCTAGGTCTTGAACTCCAGCATCAGAATATCCCTACTAGTGTAAACTATTATCATCCAGGTTTATGAAAAGTGTTGAGGAAATTAAGAGAAGGAAGTGGAGTCTGCTTTGTACTGAGTCAAAGCTGAAATTACTGCCTTCTTCCATTTGCTTTAAATGGATCTTTTTTTTATTGTCATTCAGCTGGCTGTTGAGTGTCCCTGTCACATCCTCACAGGGAATGCATTGTGGTAGTTTTAAGAGGATGAAAATGATATAATGAATAAAGTTGGTTTGCTCACATTAATCGCAAAGTCATATCCATTAGTATTCTAAATACAGGAATCCCATTAAAATCTTTCTGATAGCTGAATTAAAAGAGGATGTGATACATTTATCTGTTCTCTAGTCCATTTTATTGAAATGCCACCAGTGTAAATGACTTCTGAATGCTGTAGTTCATTTGTATCTGTTAAGTCCAAAGACATTATTGCATGAAAGGAGTGGAAAGGAGAAGTGAAAAAAATGTAAACAACTTCTGGGTGAATTAATTAAATGCTTATGGATTGCATTGCTTTTTACTTAGCCCTGAAGTTGTAAAGAGTGAGCCGTATGGAGAGAAGGCTGACGTCTGGGCTGCAGGATGCATCCTTTATCAGATGGCAACTCTGAACCCACCATTTTATAGCACCAATATGCTCTCTTTGGCAACCAAGGTATTCAGATTTGTCAGATCAACCTACCAATTATTTCTGCATGTGTTCACTAGATCCATAAGAATTTATGTTTAAAGTTATAGTAGCATAAACTGCTCTCTGATCTGACGTGTGAGCGAGCACAAGTGTTTATCATTGTATGAATTGCAGTATTTCCATTCTAATTGCAAAAATTGCTTGTAAATGTTAGTATGTTATTACCTCTCAGACTACCATATTTTTATCACTGCATCTGGTGGTAAGGAGCTTTAGATATATAAAATTTCTTGATGTGCTATAATATTGAATTTTCTATAGCCTTGGGTATTACACCTTGGGATGTGATCATTAATAAAAATAGTTTGGGTTTTTTTAATGTTTCCTTTGTTCAGATGTTGTAGTCCTTCGATCTACAGTGATTATGTACATTTATATAGATATCTGATTGGAAGTGACATTCTGCAAGCAGATGTGTTCTAAGTTGTTTTGCAAGTTGGAGCTGATGATGTACTACCTATCAAGTTGTTTCAAGGAACAATACTTGTCATATGGGATCTTCAAATAAATAATGGAATATTTTTCTTCAATTAACTGTAGGTTATTTATTTTGCAGATAGTAGGGGCTGTGTATGAACCTGTGCCAGAAGGACTGTACTCTGAAAAAGTGTCGTTTACCATTCAGAGGTAATTACTCATCTAGTTTTTGATTTGCATGTTTCCAGCAGTGGTAATGTGACAGTTTGCTGACTTTAGCAACTGCCAGTATATGTCTCTGAATATGGAATATCTTCTGATTTAAAGAAAACCAGAGGTATCTCTTTCCCCTGCTAATAATATATGCAATATAGTTGCGTACATGTAACTGGAAAAACTCATGCCAGTATAGTCATCACATTTATCCAGCCCACGTATACTTTATACTGATTACTGAAGTTTAACAATACAAGTGCTCTAGGTAATTTTCTATGCATCATTTTTCCACTCCATGGAAATATAGCATTTTGAGTCATTGTCAAGTGCAGTTTATGGTCACAGAGGTAACCCTGTTGCAGTGTGTTATTTATAGATCACTGTATGATCACATTCATCGTTTTGTGTGTTTATTTGACTGATAGAAATACGTTGCCCATCACCTTCTAATCCTGTTAGCAGGATAGCAGAGATAATGCAGTAATGGAGGAAAAGATGAGCCTGTATTTGTTCCACTCACTCATTGCATATTTCTCCTAGATATGGTTACATCTTCCTAGTAATAATGTGTAATTTACATTTAATTTACGTTGGAAGAGACCCCTGGAGGTCTAGTTCGTCTACTCAAAGCAGGTGCAATTAGACCTGGTTATTCACTGGTCATGGTCTTGTCTAACTGAGTTCTGAGTATCTTGAAGGATGGAGATCCCACAGCTTCTCTGGGCCCTCTTCAGTGCTTGTCTGCCTTTATAATTAAAATTAGTAATGATAATAATATTAATCCTTGTATCTAATCAGGCTTTCCTGTGTTCTAACTTGTTCTGTTGCCTCTTGCCCTCCTGCCTCATGTATCAACTGATCCCTGCAATTTGGTGTTCACAAACCTTTTGAGCATGTACTCCATCCCATCATCTCGGTCATTAATAAAGACGTTAAACAGTACTGGCCCAGTATCAATCCCTGGAGGATGCTACTTCCAGTCACCAGCTGGACTTTGTACTGCTGATGTCATCTCTTAGAGCCAGGAAGTTCAGCCAATTATGTACCTACCTTATAGACCTGTAGATATTGTGTCAAGGGCCTTGGTAAAATAAAGCTACCCACAGCATATGCTGCTCTCCCCTTGTCCACAAAGCCAGTAGTCTTATCATAGAGAGCAATCAGTCTAGTTAAATGCTGGCCAGCATTACTTCATAAAGACCAGTGGAGGAATGCAGTGGTAGTAAACAGTTTTTTTTTTAAGAAAGAAGTAATTAGCTTTCATTAGAGAACTTTCTTTCTGCAGATGCTTGACTCCTGATGCAGAGGCACGTCCAGACATCGTGGAGGTCAGCTCACTGCTGTCTGATGTGATGATGAAATACCTGGATGTTTTATCCACCTCTCATCTCATGTTGGAGAAGAAGCTTGATCGGGAGAGGAGACGAACGCAGAGGTACTTCATGGAGGCTAATCGAAATGCAATAACCTATCACCATCAGCTTTCCATTTTATCACAAGTAAGTATACGTATTAGGCTTTATTTTTTCTTATCATTGTTTGCCATATCTGAGATAATAAGGTACAACAAAGCAGAATATAAATAAAAATGAAAAGACCAATCCTCTTAGAACATTTTTTCCATGCAGGCTCTTTAATTTCTTTTTAATAAGGTATTCATTTTTTGTGGCCATGCTTATACAGGAAAAATAACAGTATCTTATAATCCCATATCATTCTGTGTTGGAAAATGGCATTGTTATGAAGGTATGTGCAGTTTTGATAGAATCTGATAACGTTTAATTATTACTGTACACTTGTGAATGGTTTGTGAATAGGAGAATATACACTTGGCTAGGGTGGAAAAAATGGCTAATCTTGTGTATGATTCAGGAACAATGGCACCTAGAAAATAAAACCTACAAAAATATAGTTTTTAATTACAGATCGCTAAATAAAGAATAGTGATGCAGATAAAGTATTTGCTCATGCTTTCTCACTGTCTGATACAATTCTACAGAACCACTTCTTAAAATTCTTGCATTTGCTTCAGGCTATGTTTTGAGCACTCTTCAAGAAGGACATCAGTATTTTACATAATGAACCAAAGTTGTATATGATCTCAGAGAATTTACTTGAAAAAATACATGGACAATGTTTTCTGTGTAGTAAAAACTCACTGTGAAAATCATGGTTACAGTAATTGTGAAGCAAAGTGATAATTTGCACGGTTACTTTTGTCTGTTCAGCCATTGTATCTCTCTTAGATTCCTTTCATCACGGCTTCAGTACTTTACACAGAAGAACCTATTTGTAAGAAAAAGGTTTTCAGGAACACCTGGTCCCAAACTCATGGATTTTTTTTTTTTTTTATTATTAATACATTCTTTATCTTCACCTTCCTGGCCAAACATAAGACTTGTAGAAATTGTTAATAATTTTTTTCAGTAGTTTTTTGACCTATCAGTTCAAGATCATTAGTTGTATTATAACATTTTTTCTTAATACAAAGATGCCAAAAGCTTCCAGAAAAAAAATTAAAAACCACTGTCATTTGAAAAGTAAGAGGTACTGAGGTGAAAGAAAGGTAGAGTAGACTTTGTACCTTAAAAGAGTATGAACAATTTTTTTCCTTCTTTTTTTTTTTTGAGTTTTCTTGCCCTACACATTTGGAAATTTGTTGTATGTCATTATTTTTTCGTATCTTGATATAGTCATTCTCTTGCACAACTGTGATGAAATTTGCAAAAAAATTATGTACTATGGATGAAAAGCAGTTTAACTTGGGATTTCTCAATCAGTTATCCTGTATTTGAGAGAAGAGTGCCCTATCCAGACACTTATAAGATATGATAGAACTAATAGCTATACATTGAAGTTAGAGTACTTCTGTTTTGTATAAATACTTCAAAAATACACCTACAAAACAAGATGGAAAATGCTGCTATTTTGGGGGATAACAGCTATTTTTCTCAAGGAAGGAATACTGTAATTCTAGTTCCACTCCAATGGATATGTAACTATGTGTGTTGAAAGAAACGGGTACAGCAGGAAGATCTGTTAAAGATCCAAAAAGCTGCAAAAGCTGAGGGGAGTATGGCTTGGTAATGAGAAATGCGAGACCTAATTGTGTTCTTGCTGTAAATAAGATAGAATAAGTCAGGCTAGCATCTTTCAAATTTCAGAGCGGTGCTACAGGGCTTAGAAACAGAAGGAGCCATGTTGTTTCTTATTTCCTGGTATTGTAGGAAAATTTTATGGTGGTTTTCTAGTAAAGAGAATAATTATTCCTGAAAAGTGTGACTTCTGAAAAAAGACAATATTCTGACTAGACGTACTAGGAAGAATTTCAAGCAGCTGTTCCTGAAATAAAAACTCTATGAGGTATGGACGAGCTAATTCATCTTAGTCAAGACCTCAGCCATTCCAGAGCCAGGTAATTTGTCATTTTTCCATTGTGTCAGAGAATTCAGTGTTTCTGCCACATAGTTCAACGTTTTGTTGAAGCTGGCTATCTTCTACTTTGTTTTCTTGCTACTAAAATGTACTTATGGTCTCCTTTTTCATCCCAGTTATGTCATATCGTGAATGTTTCTGAAATAAAGAGTGTATTCTCTATCCTGGTTTATGGAACTAAACAACAGAGATCTTTTGGAGCCAGAGTGAAATCTGTTTTATAAGTAGCTGATAAGTAGCCAATTAAACATCAGGTCAGTAGATGATCTTGGAGAAAGGTAGTTACCTTGCCTGGCAAGTATAGATTAAGATCCAAGCTGAAGAATAATCCCAAACAAAAGAATTGTTATCAGCTCCCCACATAAATTCCGATCTTTCCTTCATTTCCATAGAAATTGTTGTTTACGTAAGAACAGAAGTGGATGTAGGGAAGAAAGGTGTTTAGTAGTGTTAGTGATGTAACACAGGACACAGAGTACCCAAACAAGTAATAATAATAGTGGTAAATATTTCTCACATCATAGCTTTCTTTTCAAGGTGGTCATTATTATATTTTCATGCTCTGGGCAGGAAAACGTGGAGAGGAAAAAGGTAGTTTGTGTAAGGTCACCAAACAGACCAGTGGCAAAGTTGAGTTTTCTGTGTTCCAAGCCAAATCTGAATCTCAAAATGGTAGTTGATTAAATTAATAATGAAAGTATCTTTCTAATATTTTCCTTTAAAGAGATGAGAGAGTAGCCAAATAATAATTTGATTGCTTTTCTGAGGTATATAGGTTTGAAAAATTTAGACATTACTTTGGCTGTTTGCAAAAAGCTGAAAATAAGTCACTTTTATTACTTTGGAAATATGTATTTGATTACACCGGCATCATCCGTTATTGTTTCATTTATTGCGTATATTCTGAAGTTTTTTAAACTTGGAGGTAATGCTTAGAAGCCCTTGATAAGCCAGTGTGTTCACATACTGTTTGACATACAAAAAGAATAACTTTTTTCTCATTGCCAGATTTTAATGTAAAATATCAATATACTGAAAACAATACAGAATGATGAATATTGAAATCTGTCCTGTCTTTTGAACATGGGAGCTTTATAACTGCAAGCTTTATAGTCTGAGTCTGTCAGCTAAAAATATATATATCAAAATATGAGCCATTTGTACCTCCTGCTGCTCTGATCAGTAAGGTAGTCTATCATGTCTGCCCATTTTTAATATATTCTCTGAGAGTTACTTCCTTTTCTCAGTTTCTGAATTTCTGATGTGTGCATATAGTACACATGTTCTGTTACATTCTTTCTCCATACTAAAATTTTGTAATACTGTGTTCTTTGGGAATTTAAACTTATTTTAATTTTTGTATTATTAATGTCATTAGAACACACATTTTATTTTAAATCTCTGTATACAAATCCATGTATTGAAATGAAGTTCAAAATTATGCAGAGTAATGAGAGACCAAGATGTGTAGAAATGAAAAACTAGGTATGGCTTTTGTTTCTGAGTGCAGCGCGATCTATGGAGTTGCTCCACATCCAGTGTTTGTCAGGGCTACTAGGGTGGCAGAACTCATTAACAACGCCTAGTTCGAGCCGATCCGTGTAGGTCACTGTTAGCTCAGTGCCTTGTCCTAATGTTCAGATCCATGAGAATGTTGATTAGCAAGGTTGCTCTCCGCATTTTTCTGGTTTTGCACTTGAACTGATAAATCTTTACCCCAACCGAACATGTTGAAGAGCATGGCAAATAGACCCAAGATGTGTTATCTTCCATCTAGATAGGATTTTTTAGCTGCAGGTCAACACTGGCCCTCCCAGACCTAGATCTGTGGGTATCAAGGTATTTAGCTTCCTGTGGACTAGGATGCCACTGCTAGGAAACATATTCTGATTATTATGCGTGGAGACAGGTTGGTTACAGCCTATGCTATAGAAGGCTGCCTGGCTCTCTTTTTTGCAGCAGCAGTTCAACTCTTTATTGGCTGCAAATAGTGACAGAAGCAGTATAGGAGATTTCAGACAGGACTACTTCTAAACTGAAGAGCCTGCCCAGCTTGTGGTTTAAGAATCCATGCTTTTGTAACCACCCTGCAGACTACTGGCAACTCTGGTGATTAAAAGCAGACATAAATTTCCTCACATTTTTAGAAGAAATGAGAAGGGAATCACAGCTATCTGAAAGGCAAAGAAATACAAGATTATTTAACTGCATTTTCACCAAGTCATTTTGTCCCATACCCAAATCCAGTTCTGCACTGTTGGCAATTGTGGTAATCATCATGTTAGTTTCTATGCATCACTGCATGCATTATAAAGTAGTGCTTAATTAGCAATTCAATTTGAATTAATCTATTTTTTTGTTAACTCTGAACGAGACATAAAGACCAGATTAATGTTCAATTTTAATTTCCTTTCTCTTTATGTTTAGATATATTTTGCTCACTTTAGCCAATCAATGCATAAAAGATTTTTTTTCCTTAAAGCAACTGTGTATGAATGCAGCAACTGTTTTTGTATTGGTTGAAGCAAAGAGTACATTTGTTTTTAAAACACTTAGAATGCAACAGGTTACTATTATTATTGCAGCAAAATAGTCTAATGTCTATACTAGGCTCAAATATTCAAGTCCTATTCTTATTAAAAATTGATTTAAAAAATTGTTAACATTTTTATTTAAAAATTTGATTGATGGTGCCTGTCTGTGCATTGCTACATACAATTCCCATTGCATTGGAAATGAGTGGGTACTTGGGAATGTCATGAGAGCTTAGCATTCCACAAATTGTTTTCTTCTTCCACCTTTCACTCCATTGATTTTGTTCTGACACCATTCTGTTTTGGCATTTATGTAGCAGGTACTGTTTAAATGTTAGAAATTACAGTTGATGGGATAGGAAGAAAGTAACCTTTTTAAATTTATACTGTTTATGTTTGGAGAATAAAATAATTATGCAAAAGCTGCTTTGCAGGTGCAATTTTTTTAAGAGTCGCTGAATTTAAAAAATAGTCATCACAGCCAAGTTACTACCTGTGAAAATATATGATCAAACTACTAAGAACAAACCCATAATATGCTTAATTCAGCTTCAATCTGTTAATGCATCTAAGTACTTTAACAGAATAATGGAACATAAGGCAGGAGGAGTTGTCAGAGATTATCTTGTCCATCTCCAAGCCTTAGAGCTACCTGTCACTCCTGACAGGTATTTGACCAGTCAGTCATAAAAATTTCAAGTGATAGAAAGTCTCTCCCAAGGCAAACTATGCCAAATTAGGGAACAGTTTGGAACCAGCAGAAATGCAAAAACTGCCTTTTCAGACAGCAACCACATGTCTGAATGAGTCTTGGTTTTTTTCCATCCGAAGATAACGTCTGGAAAACCATGAGGATGCCTGAAGCACTGTCAGAAGATAATTGGAAATTCTGGGCATACCCATAGCATATATACGCTGTGGTGTATAGCGTACCTGCAGTTACACTGATGCTTTCAGAAAATGTTGGTCTCACTTCGTGTACCTGACAGAATAGATCTGCTCTGTACGTCTTGTTTTCAGGAGATATCAGATGGACGTATGCATGTGTGCATATAGGATGTATATGATACTTGAAATTTTCAGACCCACTCTTAAGTGTCATATGATTGCTCTGGGAGTACTGTCCAGAATGTCCCCAGAACACTGCATTTACTGAGCACATGCAAACCTGTTAGATAGCATATGAACACTTATTTCTTTCTGTAGGATCCCAGACAGATGCAATAGTTGAACACTTAATTACTATTAGGCAGTCTTAAAGACTCTCCTAAATTTACTTGTTGCAGCTTAAGCTGCTTACTTTTTGTCATCCCCACAGTGGAAATAAATAAGAATTATTTCTTCTATCTTATACGTTACATATCTCCTGTGTAATTTTTTTGTTTGGATTGCATAATCAAATTCCATTGGCCTTACTTTCTAAGTTGAGTTTTGTAGACCTTTGATCATTTTCATTTCTCTCCTTTGCTGTCTCTCCACATTTTTGATGTGTAGTGTTCAGAACTGGACTCAATTACCCCAACTGAGAGCCTCATTGAGAGCAAATAGGAAGATTACACAGTTCTTTGAGATGATTGTCTTCTTTATACATCTCAATATAACATTTACCTTTTCATAACAGCATGGTATTTCTGAGTCATGCTCTGTTTCTGATCCACCAAAGTCCCCATATCTTTTCCTGCTGTCTGACCAGTCCTTCCTCAGTCTGTGCATTTGTACAGTTGTTTTTCCTTCCTCATAGAACTTTACATTCTCCCTATTTCAACTTCATAAGTTCTTTCAGTTTCTCCAGTTTATCAAAGGTTCCTTTGAAAGTATTGTCACTTGCATTGGCACAACCCTATGTATGATGTATATGCTGTAGTATGATCTATGATGGGAATGTACCACAATCTATGCATATTTAATTGGCCGTCTTTCTATTCCATCATGAGGATTATTATTGTAATTCAATGGCAACATGAAATAGTTTTGGAACAAGGCCAGAAAGGAACCTGAAAAATTGTACTCGCTACCGATTTTCAGGTTAACAAACACTCAGAGTACTTACAAAGTTGAGTACAATTTTTATGGTCAATTGTACAACCAAGTGATCATGATTCTTGTACAGGTCACACTTCCCAAGCTTTCCTGTAAGATGCCATGAGAAACACTGACAAAGGTTCTTACTAAAACCATTATAACTAACATCTACTTCTTGTTCCTGATGCACAATAGCTGTCACAGAAAGAAAGACATTGGTTTAATATGTTTTTTTTCCCCAAAAAATTTCATGTTACCTCTTACTCATTTTGTTGCCATCTTCTATTTTTCTTTACAAATAGTTTAATAGTGGAAGTAGTTCTATTTGTTCCTTGAAATAGAAATTCAGCCAAGTAGTATAATGCTGTAATTATTTGTCTGTAATAAAGAAGATTAATTAAACACTGTTTGCAAATACCACCAGAGAGCTCTATGTTTCTTAAAGACAGAAAAGTTAATTCTTCTGGACAGTAATATGGCAAAACAGAGCTAAACAATAGATCAGTATTTGGTTTTTTTTTGAACACTGTTAACTTAAATTTATAAAAATTAGATTCCTGTTGCAAGTCAGAAGAAACAGTTTAGGTTTCACGTCTCCAAAAATAAAATATATCTGATTTTGCAGTGGTAATGGTGACCCATGAAGAAAGAGATAGTGCAAGTGTACAGAGTATGGATGAACAGTCTTAGCTTATAGACAGAGTTTTTTTGTCACGGCTGGAGACACAGATTTCAAGTGTTTCCAGAGATGTTTTTGCTCAGTCATAAAGAAAGATTAATGCTGAAAAAAATTAATTGGTTCATAATTTGAACATTTTTTTGCACAGGGGCTCTTTTGCCTTTAGATTTCCTTTTGAACTGTGTTTATCTAGAAGGCAAAGTTTGTTTCAACAAAGGTGGCAAACAATCTGACCTGTGGGGAAACTGAGGCACTAGTTTATTATGAAAATGTGAAAATAAAGCCTCCAGAGAGATTTATAAAATGCTGGACTCTATAATCAAGTGTAGATATGAGCACAGTTCAAATGAATATATATCAACCTAACTCATGTTTCAATGTTTGGGATATTTTGAATATCCCACTGTTTCATGGATTCCTTCAAAGGATAAGTGTCTTTCTCCCTCCTAGAAAAAAGTCTCTCCAAGGATATGGAAATGGCTGTTTCAAGGTGCAGGAGAATACTTCTCCATTCCCTTCTCACAAACTTATGTTCTTTATATTATTATATCTTTATATTCCCACTCCAGTGCTAAGCAGAAGTGGCATTGAACTCGCATCCCAGACTCCTACAAACAGTGTACTTTTGTCCTTCTAAATCAGTGAGACATCTGACTCAAAAGAGAAACAGCAATATATAATCTCACTTTTGAAAATTATTGGCTAGTTTCAATAGCAGGTCTGACAATTATTTTTATTCTGAGGTCTACAGAACTCAGTTCATGCATTTCAAACAGATTTTCTTTCTTGATGTGTCAGTTAGATCTGACACCAGTAGGTAACAGCAGTCTTTTTGATCTTTTTTTTTCTCCCATGGTCCACCTGATTTACAAGTTAGTGTTAACAATTAGTCATTTGAGTGTGAAGTTCAGTATTGGCAATGTTGAAAGGAGCTTTGAGATTGAAATGTCCGTGCAGTTTGACCCTTCTTTTTCTTTACCTTGTTTTCTTTGATGTAGAACAGGTGAATTGGTTCTCTTTAGTAATTGTGCACTGACTGTTTAGGGCACAATAAGAATTCTCACATGCCATGACTAGACTGCTCTCTTTAAGTGAGCTTCAGAGTTTATCGTTAGTGATTGCCATACTGTGCTACACCGCAGTCATTGCTATTGTGGCATCTTGGACATAAGGTCAGTCCAGTACTTAAGTATAAAATGATCTTTTCCCACCCTAAATTAAAGCGAAAAGCTTGACAAGGTGTCTCTTACAAATTAATTCATAGTTTTGGGAATAGAACAAAAGATGGGGAAGTAATTGAAGCAGACCATTACACGGGCAGTGGTATAGTCAGTGCTCAGGGGTGCAGTTAGGTTTCTAATCTAGTGCACCCATTCTGCTGTGTCCCAATAAGGTCAAAATACTTCGTGGCAAAACATTGTCTTAGATATAGGCCAAATTGTCTCTGACACACTTGGTAAGAACATAAGTATTTACTAATGTATTATCTCCTGAAATTACTTTAATATTAAAGATGCTCATTTGTTTAATCTGATATATTTACATAATTCATCCCCTGTTGTTTATCACACTTTGCTCTGACAAGATCAAGTAAAAAGAAGCATGAATTTATTTGCGCACAATAGAAATAATACAAGAAGACTTAGAACAATATTTAAAGTGATCATTAAATCAATCTGCCTTCAAAATATGTTGCATTAAAATAGAAGCAATAACGGGTATCAAGGATCTCTATACTTTCCAGAAAAGCTATAAACATTGACAGCAGCAGAGGCAGAATTTTATACTCATTAAAGAACCCCATGCTATAGACAAAATTCAGCATTTAAATGTTTCAAGCAAATAATTTATATCCCATGTTTGATTTTTTGTTTTGTTTTGTTTCCTTAGCTCTGCTTTGGTAATGCCAGTCAGCATCTGGTCAGTTCAGCCTTAGGGGCTCTCTCTGGCTTCACATCATATCAAGTCCAGTTCATATTTTACTACCATCTTGACTGTTGTGCAGGTTTTGCATTGTCCAGAACTGGTCTGCTGTTTATTATCTAAGCTAGAATAGAGTTAATCTCCCATTGCTTGTATCTGTGTCCCTACTGTCTTTGTCCAGTCTTTTATTTTTTTGTGGTGTTCAGTATTTCTTTCTGGTCTGGCATTTATTTTATTTTTTCCCCACATTTAGTGCTTGTTATGAAAAGACCTTCATCAAGAACAAAGATGCCTTTTATGTAAAGGCTAGAAATAATTTGTTTAGATTAAGAGTTTGAAAGTTTTGCTGTAAATTTAGAATCAGTGACTGAATCAGGCACCATGTAGTCCTGGACTAACAGCTAAGTGGGAGCAAAAAGTGTATTTTTGTGTGTGTGTCTAGAAAAGTGACAAGTGACACTTTCATTTGCAGGTTTTCTAATGAGTGCTGCATAAGGACAATATGTAACACTTCCTTTTTGTTCTTTGTTGACAGAAAAATTATGAGAAATTGAGTCTTCATAGCAGCAGCAGTAGAACAGTCAGCTACAGAAGTGATTTTTCAGAAAATGCTGACCTCCCGGCTGAAAGCCGTCAATCTGCACGTGGAAAAGATGAGGAAAGAACATGTGAAGAAATCCTGGTAGAGGATCACAGCACTTCAGAGAACTCTGAGAAAGGTAGTCATTAGCAAAAGAAGCATCAGGAGTAGTATTATGCTTGTGAGAAGTGGGTTAAAATCTTCTTTGCTTTCATTTTCTTGCACAGATATGTTCTCTGAATTAGATGATGAGCTGGACATATTGGACAACTCAAACAGCTCCAGTTCAAGTCACTTGAAAGAGTCTACTATTGGTAAGAATCCTTAAGAATGAAGTGTACACTGCTTTCTAACAGCAAAGCAGTTATTTATTCCAAAATGTTAGGGTATTTCATGGTGTGTTGCAAGTTCACTATCTGTTGTGGGTGCTAAGGAAAAGAAAAATAAAATAACTGTGCCTCTGTGGCAGCCATTCCCAGTATAATGCATTTTGCATCCCATAGTCTTTGTGTAGCTTGTCCCTACGCTTTACAGTAATGGCTATGAAAACTGGAATATTACTGGGCAACGTGACAAAGGTGTTTTTAGATTTGAAGCGTAAGATAATTAGTGTTGATAAAAAACAGAAGGAGTACAGATTGAAAACTTTTGTCTCAATAACAATAACGCAATGAAATATAAATGGAGTGCCCTGTTAGAGGGTGTAAAAAAGAAAGTCGAAGGAGGCAAGCTTTTGCTGTCTAGGTGAGTTGACTGAATGGAACTGAAAGATTGCTTAATGATTAGATTCAAATTAGAAGGGGATTATGTGACAAAACATAGCATTAATTCTCCCTGTAGTTATTTATGGTAATCAGATAGAAAAGCACCAGCTGTGTTGGGTATTAACATAAGTAATAGTTTTTTGGATTATATTCTAAATATACAAATTGAAAAAACAGAGTTGTGAAACATCTGCAACCACTGGGAGCTACCTGCTAAACCATGCGCTACCATGATCTACCTGTTAAATGGAACAGGATTCTGATTAGAGAAAATCAAAGAGTATTTAATACTAGAAGAAAAAGATTAATATAAGAGCTGAGCAAAATGTGAGATTTACATTCAGCCCATGAAATTCTGATGGAAAATCTGTGGGTGATTTAAATTATACTTTTAAAAGGTAAAGGGGATGTAGTTGTCTCAAGATTAACAATTATTATTACTGCAAGGTCGCAGGCTTCAAAAAACATAGAATAACATTACATTATCTGTTTGTAGTCCTATTTCCTGGATGGATTTCCTTCAGATTTTCGCCTAGGTACTGAAGAAGTATGACTGCTTTTAATTGAAATGTCTAGCCATTAGTGCAGGGCAAATAAATTATTTGATAATTCTACTTAAAAGCCATTAATATAACTTGCTAATTGTAACTGGATAGTCTGCCATTTTACAGGCTGGAGGACCCATGGCTAAACAACCCTGAATATATTATCAAAGTTTCTTTAAAAAAAAAAGGGTGCTTTTTCTTTGTTACTTTCTTGTGGTACGAGAGTAACAAGAGAATATTTTGTTTTGTTTTTTGGACTGAAGACTAACACATTGTGCGTGTCCCAGAAATGTAATTCTTTGTGGCCTAGTTCAGCATTGTACACAGACATTTGAAATCTTTGTGTAGTTTGTAGCTTGCAATACCCAAAGCATTACTAGTAATGATTTCCTTATTGTTAATTTTTCTCTGTTAAGATTTGGACATTACCAAAACGTCAACTTTTTCTAATATTTAAATATTTTTGTGCCAGGTTTCCATTGATTTAATGAAATATTTTAAGTGGAAAGATCCAGTCAGTTCCTATTAATCCCTGTGACTTTAATCAGCATTCCTGGAATTCATTGACCACTTTCCTCCGAGTATAGAGTTTAATTGTTATATAGATACTTCAGGATTGCTTTTTCAGAGAAATACTTCTGAAGTCATTCATTCTTAGATCACCTGTAGGTTCTACTTGATGCTGAAGTTAGTATTGTAGATCAGTTGTAATTGATGCTGGGAAATCTTTCTTCTTTTCAGGGAAAATGAAAAGATAGCTTTTAAAAAGTCATTATAAATTCACTGTACTTGGATATTGCTTGGGTTGTGCTCCATTCATTGCTAATAAGTGGCTAACAGTGTTTGAATTATGAGCCATGGTTTTGTCAAGCATGGCAGCATTACAGGGCAAAATCTGACAACTTTCATCTAGCTAATTTGGAAAATGCTGACACAAAAATATGACTTTCATATATGAGTATATTGATCAGGGTCTTGAAAGGGTTTGTCCAATCATGCTGCCATCACATCACTTTCAGAGAAAACACATTTCATTTTCCTTGAGATTGTCTTGAATGGAGAAATTCCCTCTTGCAAGGCATTTGAACAATGCCATGTTCAAAGGAATACCACAGTAAAAGGAAACATGGTCCAGGTAACACCCTGGAGTGAACATCAAGATGCACTCTGTGCTCCATGACTTACGTTAATTAACTTTCCTACACATCTATGTTGTTTCTTACTCCCTGTCTAGCTTTGTATGATTAGCACAACTCTTACACAACAGATTAAGGATTATAACTAGAGTAATTAGTGTTCAGTGAGTGTGTGTATACACCCATGAATGTGTTTTTTTACAATGATTTTTAGATGCCTGAGTCTTCTCTTGCTTAGTTATTGGAGAAATCATTCCAATATGTTTTCCTAGTGTCAAACATAAAGAGACTTCTCTCTCAGTTGTAGCTGCTCAGTGGGTCTCTAACATAATAATAAGCAATAAAAGTGGGGCTGAAGGGTGTTGGTTATTGCTTAGTGATGTTCTGCATCATGATTTCTGTTGTGGTTTTTTTTTTTTTAGCATTAATAACTATTTTTCTAACTTTAGCATATGAATCAGAAAATACTGCATCTCTGCTATGTACAGGGAGTGGTGAGGCAGACTCTTTGGTGTGAAATACCATGCAGTTGTAAATACACTCATAAACTGCCAGATTAGCAAGTCAAATGCGGTGAGTCATCAAACTGATCAAGCAAATGTAGATATGAACCCTTTACTGATAGAGAGACTGTTTATTTGAAACAGCCAAAGGGTATAGTATTTCAAACCCAATTTTGTATATGAATACTTGGAAAGGAAAACTGTTTTTAAAATTCTAGCAAACAGCTGTATTCAAACTTCGCTTTCTAGCCAAGTGGTTTCTGGTACAGATTTTCTCACATATATTCCCATAATATGTTATTGTCTTTGTTATAACATAGCGTCTGAGGTTGTAAGTCAAAAATCTTTACCCCAAGAAAAATGATTCAGGTTCAGTCAGAGCCTCTACTTTTGTGTTTGTATTATTGTGTCTGTATCCTAAGCAGGTAAAATATCTGTTCCTTGGCACAATCATGTTTTTTCATTTCTAAAGGCCGCCTTTACTTTCTAGACAGTGGACAGTGCATTTTCCTATCTATTTTCCTGTCTCAGTGTTAAAATTAATTGAAGTATCTTTACTTCTATAAGGGCCTAGTTTGTTTGCTATTACGTATATCAACTGCTCTTATCAAACCTTCCATTTGACTAACTGTTATAGAGTTTTAATATTTCTTTTGGTAAGCAAAGCATTAGCAAAGATGAAAATACTGTTTCTTTTTCTTTCATTCTCTCTCTGTCTCTGTGTCTTCTTTTTAGGGAGACAGATTTGGCCTAAAGATATATCATTTCTTTTGGTTTAAAAGTGAATTCTGTGTGACAGATGCAAGCCTCCTTCAGGATTTTTTTTTTTAAATTGAGAGGATCTCAGAAAAGTAGGAAAATAGAGGCACTAAATTTTAAAGCATGACAGAAAGTATGTTTGAACACAAAGAAAAGATTTAAGACTCTCTGAAATGTGTTTGTTCTCTGAAAGTCCTCTACTGTTGCCCTAGGACTAATATAACTGCTGTAACAAGACCAACAATGGGAAAACTAGTGTAAGTTTGGCATAAAATCTTTTTTCTTAGCTACTGTTTGAGTGATTAGATGCCTCTGTTCTTGTTCTGTGATAATGCTTGTGATGTTACTAACGTTGAAAAAACATGTCATGTAGACAAAGATGCAGGGTATTATATTAAAATGCATTAATTGTAGGGGAAAATTGTTGAAGAATTTCCTGATCTTAGTACTCAGACCTTTAGATAACTGAAATATCTTTTGATTTAAACATACATTTCCTCATTCAAAATGAGATATCATTTGTAGGAGAGGGTGGTCTCATATGTCAAAATTACCAGCGAAGAAATGGTTTTGCAGGAATGTTTGAAGACAGATGCTTAAGACAAATACTTGCTTTAAGACAATGCTTTCTGAGTGTCCAATAATAAATATCATCAAACATTACCTCTGACTCCTCACATTTTTTGGCACTATGCAATAAATGACATAAATCTCTAGGTTCAGTTTTATTGCTGATTTGACGTTTGACCAATAACTGGTCATAACTTTGTCTTCAAGGTCTTAAAATCAGTAGGATTATTTAAGAAGTAAGGTATTGCATATGTAGTAGTTTGAATAGTTAGCTAATAGAATGGCAGCAATAAAACTGGTAGAACATAGTTTAGACAACCCATCAAAGGTCCTCTGAGAAAGTGGGTAAAAATTCTAGTTTTTTTACCAGAGCAGAGACAATTTTGTGCCTATGGGGGTAGTAGTAACTGTAGTAAAATCCAGATGCATCTTCTGTGGACATCTTGTCAGCATGTTATTAGTTTCTGTGAAATTCTGAAAGTATTTATTAAAATACTATGCAGGGCTGAGAATTTACTTATGATGCAAGCAAATCTTTGATACATCTAACAGCAACTCAACAGTCAAATGGGGATTTGGAGTTTGTTTAACACTGCTTTAAAAAGGTTATTTTGACACCATATGAGGGAAATAAAAAATATTAACACATGTATATATATTTTTAATGCAGAGATAATGTTTATGCATTTGTTTCAGGTATAATTAAACGAAGTTTTTGTGCTTCTGAAAGTCAAGCTCAGAATAGGTAGGTAAGATTTATGATTTTAAAGTAGATTATATAATTGATCATTGTTATGATCAATTCCAGTCGGTCGTTTAACAGTGGAAGAGTTGAGCAATTGCCTATATGAAATGTTCCTTTACTTATCATTGCAACTTCATTTTATCTCAGCCTATGACGCTCAATCGTCTTGAGGATATTGTCAGAAGTTGTTTGCACACAGAATCTTTACATGAGTAATTTAAGGGCTGGCATTAAACCGATAAATAGTTTTAAAAGTGGACCTTGCTATATCAGATTAAAACAACATTAGTTGGTTAGCCAAATTTTGGTTTTGCATTTTTAGCATCTGTTTTTCAATGGAAAAATGTGTTTGTGCATTTGATAATGTAGAGTAGTATCTTGTCCCTTTGAATTCCTTTAGACCTTCTATATAAATGTAGATAACCATTTTTGGAATTTTGGAGTCCTCATTTCTTTCAGAAAGGAAAAAACTGAAACAGAATATGGCACAACCATCCCTATTCTCTTTCTAAATGTCTTTCCTTTTTCTTCTGTTATTTATTCAGAAATGCATCAAACACATTTTTGACCAACCATTATTTTTACTGATCTCCTTCATACCACTCTTATTCATAGACTCTACTCTTTATTTCTTCATTTCTGCTTCTCTTTCACATCTTAAAAAAGCCCCAAATCACTCTTAACTCCATTTGCCTCCTGAATAATTTTTTCCTCTTACCCTTAAGTTATCTAGGGAAGTATTTATAATGGTGTTGATTCCTCTTCCCTTTTTCTCCACAGACCCTGTTTGATCCAGCTTTCACTTTAGGAATATTACTGTAGCAATTCTTACTAAGCTGTATAATGGCCTCTTCCAAGTCATTGTTCCTTTATTTTCTTGATCTGCTATTTACCATTGGTGCTATCTTTGTCGTCTTAAAATCGTGCTTTTCTGACTCTCCTGACTGTATCCTTTTCTAATTCTCTTCCTGTCTTTTGAAACTATTCTTAAGGACACTAGTTTATCTGTTCATCTGATTTCCTTAGAATGCTACACATGGCTTTATCACTGATTTTCTTGTTTTCTGCATCTCGTCTTTGCATGTACAAACGTATCTATTTATTAATCTACCTGCAAAATCATGCTGCAAATCATGAATTTAGCTGTATACACCAGATGTATTTCCTCTGTCTATAACAAATTTTTGCTCATGTCTGTAAGATGTCTTTGTGGCTTTGTGACCATACAGTTGAGTACAACACAGCTAAAAGGAATGTCATAGTTGCCTGTACTGAAAGTCCTGCCCAGTAGCTCAGGTTTTGATCATTCTTGAAAATAAAGCTCATCCTCACCAATACTTTGATATCTGAGCATCCGCTTTAACTTGCACATCTCTCAAAGTTCTTGCATTCAGAATAAGTCTCACTGTTCTGCCAGGCACCTCTAACATTTAACCTTTCCTATCAATATACTTTGCTAAAACTCTTGCCTGAGTTCATAAGGCCGTCAGACAAACATCTTTCCTGGTTTTGATACAAGCATTCTAGTTATTCAAGTGCCCATTCAGAAGAGGGCTGCAAGGAACATTTCTACAGCCCTACCTTCAACCTTCCCATTTTCTGTGTGTATCCTTTTACTGGTTGTGCTTTTCCTATCACTTCAGACACAATACTTCATTTTTGCTTTCAGAGTTGTTCTTAGCGTATCACCATCCAGTCTGTCACTTATCACTCACTAGCTTTCCAGCTTTACTCCTGCTGCGTTCTGTAATGGCAGCCTCCTGATGCTCAAGTGTTGAAGCAAGCACATGTTTTTGTCTCCATTTCTGTCCCTCACAGAAACATTAGCAAAACTATTTCCTTATCTTTCTTCATAACCACTCCTTGAAACTGTAGTTTTCCTTACTGCCTAAAAATATATACACATTCTTGCCATGCTAGGGCTGTTGGGGCTGCCATCCATCCATCAGGATATCATATTGGTTCTTTCAGTTCCCCATCTGTCTGTGTCCATTTGTTGCTTATCTCAACTAGTGAAATCTGCAGGCTGGGACAGTGCTTGTATAGAGTATAGGTTAGAAGCTAGAATTGAAATATCTGGACCTATATTTCTGACGTTGAGGTATTGCTGTCCTGGTGATGTAATATTAATTGTTTTTCCTCACTGTACTAGTACTGTATACATTATTACTCCTGGTTTTATCCACTAGACAGTAATTAATCTTTACGTTTTCCATTCATAAAATGGGTTAATTGAAATGTCTTTAAACATGTCAAAATGCAAAATAATTTGCAATCCAGTTAATTATTGACTTTTAAATATCTGTCTATATAAATAGACAGATTTTAAATAATCCTGTCTACTGTTTTAGTACTTTCAAGGCTGAAAATTGAGCATGGAAATGAATGGAGTCTAACTTCTATTTAGTAGGAATCATGCTATTTTGAATATATAGAGTAAGCCAGCCTTTACGTGACTTATAAATACACATTTACAAACTAGTGAATTTGGACAGGTTTCCTTCAGGGAATACTGATATTTCCTCTATAGTCATTGATGCAAAACACAATTAAAACTACTTTTTTTTTAAATTTATTTTATTTTATTTTTAAATAGAGTTTATACGGAAGGTCCGGGATCAAGACTGCGACCAGGTAATTTTGTGCTTGCAACAAAATTAAACTTTAACTTAACTTCAACGCAATGATTTCCAAGTTTTTAGACCTTATTCTCCTGTTGCATATAGAACATCTCCTCTTTTACTTCTTCAGCTTTACTGCCTATTGATCTGTTTTTGAGAGTGAGCAGGGCTACTAGGAAAACAAAGGACTCGTTTGTGACAGGGTGGCAGTCCCATAGCCTTCTAGTTCTTTACAATATGCAAAATCATGGTATTATCTAATAATTATATTTTGAAATGTTAGAAAATGAGAAAATTACATTTTATATACAAATATCTGAAGTACTCTTAAGGAATTTTTTAAAAGTATGAATTCCAATAATAAAGCAGTAAGACTTCATTTTAGTGAGACCTCATGTCCAGCTTTTTATCCACCAGTACCCTCTCTGCAGAGCTTCTCCCAATCCCCTTTTCCTGCAGCCTGTATTGATGCCGGGGGCTACCCCGACCCAGATGCAGGACCTTGCACTTGTCCTTGTTGAACTTTGTGAGGTTCACTCAGGCCCACTTTTTGAGCTTGTCCAGTTGCCTCTGGATGGCATCCCGTCCCTCATGCATGTTAACCCCACCACTCAGCTTGGTGTTGTCTACAAACTTGCTGAGCGTGCACTCAATCCCACTGTCTATGTCATTGATGAAGATATTGAACGGTACTGGCCCCAATATGGACCCCTGGGGGACACCACTTGTCACTGATCTCCATCTGGACATTGAGTAGTTGACCACTCCCCTCTGGATGCGACCATCCAACCAATTCCTTATCCACCAAACAGTGTATAAAATCCCTATCTCTCCAATTTGGAGAGAAGCACCTTGCAGGTGACCGTGTCAAAGGCTTTACAGAAGTCCAAATAGACAACTTCCCTTGTCCACTAAGTAGTCACTCCGTCATAGGCCACTAGGTTGTCAGGCAGCGCTTGCCCCTCATGAAGCCATACTGGCTGTCTCAAATCACCTCCCTGTCCTCTATGTGCCTTAGCACAACTTCTGGGAGGATTTGTTCCATGATCTTTCCAGACACAGAGGTGAGGCTGACAGGCTGGTAGTTCCCAGGATCCTCTTTTCTACCCTTTCTAAAAATGGGTGCACTGTTTCCCTTTTTCCAGTCATCAGGGACTTCACCTGACTGCCATGAGTTTTCAAATAGCATGAAGAGTGGCTTGGCACCTACACCATACTAAGCATATTTTTATTCAGAAAAAAAGTTCAAATATGTGAAGACCCACAAAAGAAATGGCACTGTTTTATTTGCATTTGTTTTGTAATACAAGCCATTGACAGCAAAGGAGAGGTCAAATGCCATAGAATAGGGAGCAGTGAGAAAGGTGTCATGTCAAGGAAGTAGAATTTTTATTAGCAACCTAAGAAAAACTGAAGATTCCTAGGCTGTAATGGCAAGACCACAGTATTGATTTTGAGTTTGAATATAGCAGTCTTGAAATACTTGGTAGAAAAGTGAAGATGAGGCAAAAAGAACTAAATCAAAATTGTTCCTCATGGCATATATCTTAGGTTATTATCGCATGGCTTCCACTGTCACCTTGAACAGAAAGACCAACCTAAATTCTTCCTTAAGTGGCTCAGGGGAAACGCAAGACTTCCTTTTCTCTTATTGATCATTAAGAGGAAAAATGTCAAACTGAATTTCACTTGCTTCTCTCAACCTATCTGCCAAAAAGCATTACCACAAAAAATCTGACACTAGCAATGATGTCATTATCTTCCTGATCCTACTAGAAATGTGTGTCTCTGTGATAGAGAATGATGTTTTCTCTACCTTTTTATTTTCTGTGAGAGCACGGCTCAGCTCTGGTTGGTCCCTAGACACTTCAGTTTGTGGATGTCTGTCTTCTACATCTTGCTAAAGTATCCAGCACAGAAATTCAACTGGAAAAAAAATAATAATAGTTCAGTTGTGGGGTAATTAATTTTGGTATTTGGATTTCATCTCCCTCAGAATTTTTCTTGAAACAAGATCACTTTGCAAAAAAAATAATAAATGTTTAGGTGGAAGTAAATGTCTTTGTATGACTTTATGATCCCCAGGGTGTTTCTGTATGAAGAAATTTTAGAATATGAATCTAAATTAGCCTCTGAAATGTAGTTTAGAGAAAACTGTATTTAAGAGAGATACAGGGCTGCTAACTGGAGTTCAATACTTGGACTTAAGCTCTTTGCTTAGCTTCCAGGTCTAATACTCAACTTGGAAAGATAATTTTGTTAGCTAATGGTCTTGAGTGATACACTAAATGTTTTATAGTGGCATTCTGCTGATAAGCTTTTATTTAATCTCTGGGTCTGACAATGTGTATGACAAATATACAAGATTAAAAATCATAAATAACTATATTGATTTACCACATAAAAATTCAAGAATCTGAATTAGTTTTGGCTCTATAGTCTTTTACAGGAGGCAAAGGATGATAAAGGAGCACTAGGTAAATAAGAATCAAGCTGTTCTGTTTGTTTTAATTGTTATATTTAAAATCTGAATGGTAATTTGTAAATCTGCACAGTTTGTAGAATGTGTAATATTTACTGCTATGTCCTAATTCTGTTAAATTACTTAAAGCTTGATCAGCAGAATTTTTCTATTGGATCTTATGGCTGGAATTAAAATTATTCCATGGAACACAAATAGATTATTATGCTTTTTTTTTTTTTTTTCTTGGTTCAATAGGGAAGTTCATAATAGTCTTTAGTTATCAAAATATAGTCAACCTTTTAGATATAATACCCACAAATCAGTATTGAGTTTACTGTGCTTTGTAAATTTTAAGTAATGCTCACTCATTTAGGTAGTCAAAGGAATTTGGTTTTGCTTTTTATCAAGCTGCCCTTGGCTAGTATTTTCAAATAGCTCATTGAATATGGCAGGAAACAAATCACATGGATATTTGGTAAATTAGGCAGTTTTGCTTCAGAGAAAGTGCACAGTCTTTTAATCGCCAAGCTACTTGTACTACAAGACAAAATATTCCTACAGCAGACAAATATATCTATCTCAAATTCTGGATGTCCAAGACCATATCTGATTTAATGGCTGTTTGTGATGAGTCTCAAACAGTAGTTCAGTCGGGGAAATAAACTTCCACTTTCAGCTTTTGTTTTCAATTCTTTACCCCAAGAACTAAATATTTTCACATAGCTTGTATTTTTTTTTCCTGATTTTAACACATAGAAGTAAATGAAAAAATTTAAATGGTGTTAAATTTATTTTGCTGAAAGAAAAGCATAGCTTCTACTCATGCAAGACTTTCTTTGCAGTGCTTTTGTCTGTGAAAAGTATATGTTATGTAAGTGGATTTGCTTGACAAAGGATGGTTAGTCTAGCTTTAGAGGAACAACAGGTTTACACCTACTCACTATTTTCATAAGACAAGAAAAATTCAGCTTTCTTGCTCCTTGCTGTGATAATTAATTCACACATATCTAAATAATATCAACAATAATCTAATAAAAATGATATGAGGAAACAAAAATGTTTGAAATACTGCAATATTCTAAATTCTAAAGTAATGTTTTTCCTTTTCATTCTAAACTGGCTCTGTTCTTTGGGTTTTTTTGTTTGTACTACAAAATGGAGTGTCATTGTCATCAGATATGACGGATGCTTTTTAGCAAAGATCACATTTAGATACCAAATTAAACAGTTAAGGACTAAAATATAACCCTGTTTGTGCACTGTTTGTGAATGGTGTATGTATATCTATTGTGCGTGTTGTGAGGTAATAACTAAAGGAAATGTTCAATACAATATGTTTTAAAAAAGGTTTAATATGTATTTTAGAAGAAAATATTAGAAACAACTTACAGCAATGTTATTTTCTCAAAGTGACAATACTTTCTTACTGTGGATCTCCAGCTTTGTGATCTCTTCTTAGTAATTAGCCAATTATTAAGTAATTGTCAGTGAGTATTTTATCTTCTGATCTGTCTAGTGTACAAGTCTACTTGAAATGTTAAAGCTTAGAGAAATGATATGGAGATATATTGAGAGACACAATATTTTTCAAAACTGATGAAGCATTTAATTTTTAAACTTGTTTAGGTTTTTATTTTTCTTCAGACAGGCCATCTTTATATCCCATATAATATGGCAGAGATAGAGGGGATAAAATTTCCATGGTGTATATGTAATGTGCATAGCCCATAATTACATGCATATGTACATGGGAATTGAATCTATGTTAGTATTTTCTGGTTTGTATAACCCCATTTGTAGTTTGCTTAACCTCATGCATTTTTATATCAATATCTAACTAGCTTTGTGTTTGAAAGTTTTTAAAACCCCCTTTTCCCTATATTCATGGGTCAAAACTACTATTTTTGTGGAATTTACAAGCAAAAGCAATATACGGACTGTAATATACAGACAATACAATTGTCTGTGTTCTGTCCTTTTTGGTGAAAGGAATTTTTACAGCATTATTCTTTGCTTAGCATTGGTGTTCTTTAATTCTAATAATGAAAAATGCCATTTATGCACTTTATGGTGGTGTCATTTTGATCATGGAGGATGCTGGTAACAGGTCCTTTCCACAGTCTCCATCATACGTCCTTTAAATATGGTGATCTCTGGTGGGGTGGTGGGGAGGAATTTATGTCAAAGAACAGAAACCACAAATTTTCTGATGCAAGGTTAAGAAGACTCAAGAGAATCATAGCTTCTTGCACATTCTCCTGAGGTTTCTCTCAAAGCACGCTCTTTCTAGATGTTGGAAACAAAAAGTAGCTGTGACTAAGTGACACAAGTTACTATAAGGCTACATGAAAAAACATTTTAATAAATTTGTTCTCCAAATGGTCCACATCAGACATTTTATTATAATTCTTAAAGTAAAATGAAAATAAATTTCATAACATCAAAATATATAAAAAGTAAATATCATGTGTGTTAGTCTATGTAAAAAAAAAAAATCAGTTAAAATAAGAAAATTCTGTTAACATATCTTTAAATTTCCTTTTTAATAAATGTGGGAAAACTTAGTGAGGTACATTAATACTTCTTTTCTCTTAGAGTAATTTAGAAGTGAATCAGATACAGAGATTTTCTTTTGAAAACAATTATCAGTTGTATTGTCTAATCTTTTAAGTTTTTAGATTATCCTTTTTTCATTCCCAACAATATTAGTAAAATAATTCTTGCATTAAAACTTAGTATTTATGTCTACAGTCTGATTTTACTGTTGTCATCTACAGCATCAGCAGGAATTGCTGTGTCACAAAGGAAGGTGCGTCAGATCAGTGACCCCGTTCAGCAGATTCTTATTCAGCTGCACAAAATTATCTTCATCACTCAAGTATGCGTTACTGTTGCTTCTGACATTCTATACTTTTTAGTTATTTGCTGTTGTCAAAATGATCGTACTGCAAAGTGCTGCTAATTTAGTCACTGTTCTTTAAAAACAACAGAACTTGACATTTTTGCAGATGGCAGGATGCTTTAAAAATATATCATTCAAATAAAGACTAACCTTGAATATTAGTATGTGGAGGATGGCAATAATTGAGTCATATGACATAAAAAATCATTGGCTCACCTCAGAAAAATGGATTGTACAGTAAATTATTTTTACAACATTCTGTAATGCCAGGAATATGAATATTTTAAGTTAATTAATATCATATATAGACATGGAGATTACATAAAATGCTTTCCTTTATAGCATTAATTTCTAAATAATTTCTAAATAATATTTTTTATTATCAATAAATAATAATAATTTGGGATTTCTAGTGCAATACTTCAAATCCTGAATATGTTAAATATTTTGCAATGACAGTTCTTTTTCAAACTTAAGAATTATTTTAAAATTAAGTTCAAATGTTTCGTAGTGAAAGGGAGTTGAAGTTACTTCATGCTGATTCAAAAGCAAAAATCAGGCTGATATAAATTTGTCTTAAAAATGTCATGGAAAACTTCTTATTCTCCAGAAAGATGGCTGCCACTTAATTACTTGCAAAATTTGCTATTATTAAGTAAACATTCTTTAATTTTCCAAAAGTAAGTATTTATGTTTGGGAAGTGATGTTTATCACCTCAGGGGATTTCATATTGCTGAGCCAAATTTATTTCTGTTTAGAACAGAATAGCATGACTGAACTCGGGTGTGTTTTACATGTCTGTCTTTTTTTTTCTTTTTTTTAAACTGTCAAGCTTATCAAAACAGGCAATGAAGGAAATAAATTATCAGAGACAAAGAAAACAATTATTATTTAAAATAATTGGAAATTATCTCCTTCCCTACTAGCAAAAATGAGTCAGTTCAGTTTTTACATGCTATATTAGGAGTATGTCCAAGGTGCTTATTAGTGAACGTATCCTGACTGTTGACAAAGGTTTTCTGAAGTGGCCTACTAATTAATGCAAGTTATCATAATGTGGACGCGCAATAACTGCAAACTAACAGCAACTCAAAGATTGACTCAAAATTGACCATTGAAGCAGGTAACAACTTTGATGCTTTTGGTGTCAGTTGGTTTCAGAACAGGAAGGCAGAGAAACCAGGATCCACACCTGCACTTGTTCATTGTGTACAATGTGCTTCTCTTGTACTTGCTTATGTTCTTACAAATCTAAGGTAGAATATTTTTTATAATATATAGCTGTTTTCTAAAACTCTGTTACATATTTCAGCTGACAATTCTAAAATGAAATTTACAAGGGAGAGTTCTTGCCTGTTAGTTCTTGGCTGCCAGCAGCCTCCCCAATCCAGTTTCCATGGGAACAAAAGTCAGAGTGATCTCTGGAAAACAATGTAAGAGGAAGCTTTTAAAAAAGCATTATGTAAATCCTTGGCCCGTTTCGCCCCCCCCAAACCCCCCCCCCCCCCTCTTTTTTTTTTTTTTAATTTTTTTTTTTTCTTGTTTTTTTT